GCAGGGATCAGAATGAGTGAGAAAAAAGTCTAAATTAAAAAAAAAAAAACACCGGAGGCACGCACAATAAATCTCGGGTGTTGACATAAATGATCCTCCGAGACCAGCTGATTATACATCTGGCAAAGACTGACACATCAAATGTTGCAATTACTCTGCAGAATTATTCAGAGATGACTCTTCAAATGTTTCTGAGACGCATCGCCCAAGTTGAGCTACATGCTGGGCCTTTGTTCTGTGCTGTACAGTGAGGTTTCTGCTCTTTAGAAATCTATTTTTTGCGGCACCCTGCTGCTTTCAAATGTTATGCCTGTCAACAGAAGAAGCTGGAGTTATGTCTTATTTAGAGGCAGTGCTGTCCTCATTGCTTTGTTTCAGAGGGTTTCTTTTGACCTTCATCTGAAAAGTCCTATAATGCAAACTTCACATGATGTTGGTCTGTTAGTACACAGATGCACAAACGGATTCCAGAGCAACCTTGGGGAGGGGGGAAAAAAACAGGCATTCGATAAGACTTTGAGACAGAAACTATTGTTTCAGCCTCACAGAAAAAGGGAGTCCAACACTTAGTCTGAAGGGCACTCGAGGGAATATTTTCAGCTAGGGCTTGAAGACAAATAGTACAAAGCAAACAAGACACCAAAGGTGAAAATGTGCTTGATAAATTGAAGCCTATCCATTCACACATTTGTGTATGAACTATAGTTTTCCTCTCTCTCTTTTTAAAAAAAGGCTGACAAACTTTTAAATAAATATTACAAAGGACACATATCTATATATCATGATGCACAGATAAAGCGGCATTTATCAAGCCACTGAGAAAGCGAGAAGACGACAATTACCTGCAGCAAGAAGGATGCATGAATGGTCCTACAGGAATACACAGTATCTGCTGGAAGCCCTGCACAGGATATTCCGTCCCATTAGTCATTGTGTTTATCGTCACACAGCACAATGTCCCTGGGTGGCGTTCCATGCAGTCCTTTCTGGACAGCATCAGCGTGAAACTGACAAACATCAGGCGATTGTGGTGTGGTTAAAAAATGTGTGCTGCACAAATTGGAAAATCAGGGCTTCTGTGAAGAGGCCAGTTATTTCTACAACGTGAGCTAACATCACTTTAGGGAGTTTACCCCCATCTATTTAAGTTTTGTGCAAATCTGTTAAACATACAGGGTAGTATTTATTTATTTATTTTAGGGGGGGTATCCGCCCCATCACTCCTTGGCAAATAGAAGGGGAAGTCGCGGAAGTAGTGACAGACTTCATGTTCCTGGGATCCCAGATCACCGCAGACTGTGACTGCAGCCATGAAATTAAAAGATGCCTGCTCCTTGGGAGGAAAGCGATGGCGAACCTAAGCAGCATGATAAAAAGTAGAGACATCACCCTGCCAACAAAAGTCCGCATGGGCAAAGCAATGGTATTCCCAGGAGTCATGTATGGCTGCGAGAGTTGGACTATAAGGAAGGCCGAGCGCCGAAGAATAGATTCTTTTGAACTCTGGTGCTGGAGAAGACTCTTGAGAGTCCCTTGGACTGCAAGAAGATCAAATCAGTCAATCCTAAAAGAAATCAACCCTGACTGTTCCCTGGAAGGCCAGATAATGAAACTCAAAAAACAGGATCACGAAACCGTGGGGGGAATCGGACGAAGCCGCGGGTCAAAATGCGGTCGCGCGCCTTCGAGTGGGAAATTGACACGTACCATCGGGGCAAAGAGAGGAGCGAGTGCAGAGCAGCGGCTGTGGGAAATCAGTCTCACAGACATGCACTCAGTGTCTGAAGCTGACCCGCTTAGTTTTGCCTCGTCAAGCCACGGGAGCTGAGAACATGCCATAGTATGGAAGCAAACTATTCTTTGCATCTGGACTTGCAAGGAATGCTGAGTGGGGCTGGGCAAGCTCACTGTCCAGTGTATATAGAATCACCAAACCAAAGAGTTGGAAGGAGCCATAGAGGCCATCTAATCCAACCCAGCCACTGGTGGGCCTCTGTTCCATATGTTTATGCAGGATCAACCTGCAGCATCCCTGAGAAGTGTTTGTCCAGCGATGCTGGAAGATTGCCAGTGAAGAAGAGCTCACCACCTCCCAAGGCAGCTGATTCCCTACTGAACTACTGTTATTGTATTTAAAGGGGGGGGGGAGCCCTAATATCCAGCCGGTATCTTTCCGCCCATAATCTCAACCCATTTTTGCAAGTCCTCTCTTCTTCTGCCAACAGGAATAGCTCCCTGCCCTCCTCTAAGTGACAGGTGTCCCCCCCAAAAATACTTTCAAATCATGTCTTAACTCAACCTCCTCTTCTCCAGACCGAACATCTCAAAGTCCCTCAACCTTTCCCTGTAGGGCTCTAGGCCCCTGATCATCCTTGTGAAGAGAAGGAGAGAGAGACAAGAGATTGGATTTATACCCCATGGCCCTTCACTACCCAAAGGAGTCTCAGAGCGGCTTACAAACTCCTTTCCTTTCCCCTCCCCTCCCCACAACAGACACCCTGTGAGGTAGGTGAGGCCGAGAGAGCTCTTGACAGAAACTGCTCTTTTTCAAGTACAGCTCTTATCAGAACCATGGCCTGTCCAAGGTTATCCAGTCAGGTGCAAGTGGAGAAGTGGGGAATCAAACCCGGTTCTCCCAGATTAGAGTCCACGCACTTAACCACTACACCAAACTGGTTCGTGGCTCTCTTCTGCACTCCATGTCAGGCACAGTGTTCGTTTCCCCCCCCCACGACTCTCGCATGCCCCTCACTTGCTAAAAATAATTAGTAAGGGTCTGTATCATGCAGAAAAGGGAAATCTGCGACCTAATTACCAAAAACCTATTTGCAGGCTTCTCTTATACTGCAGCTATGAAATCTACCAGACAAAGTATCTTATCTTTCTGTACACATATTGCTTCAAAATCAAATCAATACTGCACTTAAAATTTTAGATTTGCCTGTCTAACACAATTAACATATCCAGATTTATTTGAACTGCCTGCCCCTTTGAAAACTGGTCGCTGGGCACGATTTTGCTGATTCAACAGCTGCAGAAGCAAGACTTATCGATCAGTGCCCAAGTCCACAACAGCCCAATATTAGCATTGACTGCAAGAACTATATATATATTAAAACGAAATGGCCCCACACAAGTTTCTTGCCATTTCGGAGCAAATCCATGTTAACGTAACTTAATCCACAGTGGATCTGGAGTGAAACAGATGCAGAAATTGGTGCCCAATGTATTGAAGATGAAATAACAAATCCCCTAAACGAACAGACATGCAGCTTGGGGTTAGTTCTGGATGTCTCTTATCTCCGGAGAAACAGGAAATACCAGCTATAAAAAGGGTATCAAGCTGGTGCTGTATCAGCTGCCAAATAGCTCCTAAACTCCACTCAGGATGATGGCAATCAGGGGTCATTTCCTGCAGGAGCGCACAGGAGCGGAGCTCCGGCAGTAAAGAGCCCATGGGGCGGGCACATGCAACAAGCCCCACCCCCTGCTCCCAGCAGCCCTCAGTCAGAGCTAGAAGCAGCCAGGTAAGCTGCAGAGCCCCCCCGCCCGGCCCCCCGGTCCAAAACAGTCCACAGTGGCACCTTTAAGACCGAGTTTTATTCAGGTACAAGCTCTCCCTCCTCTGCGAGGACAGATCTGCATGTTTCCCCCCACCCCCATAGCCTTCCTCTGGGAACCAGCCTTAACTAACGCAAGATAAGGTTGGTTGGAGAGGGGCCATGGCTCAGAGGGAGACAATCTACTTAGCATGCAGGAGGTCCCAGGTTTAATCCCAGGCATCTCCAGTTAAAGGATCAGGTGGTAGGTGATGTGAAAGACCTCAGCCTGAGATCCTGAAGAGTTACTGCCAGTCTGAGTAGACCAGGGGTGTCAAACATAAGGCCCGGGGGCCAGAAGTGGCCCGTCCAGGGCTCTTATGTGGCCCGTGAATAACTAGTGCAAGGGAAGGTACAGGAGATTGCTTGGGGGGGGAGTGAGCAGAGCCACTCAAATTGTGGCTTCAGCACGGCAGAACAACCTCATCTACAGCAGTCAAGCGGAGTGGGAGTGTGTTATGTATAGAACAGAATGTATGAATGTATTCAGCTTGAGTCTAAGCAAGGTATTGTAAACCGACCTATCAGAACAAGGGAAGTTCTGGAGGGAGGCAAACTGATTGGTCTTTATGTACTGAATATGATTGGATGTTATCTGACTGGTGGGCGTGGCTTGCCAAGCCCGGACTGTTTAAAAAGGAGCCTGTTGCTCTGTTGTTTGTCTCTTTCTGGTTCTTCTGACTTAGTGTTCAATAAAGCTGTTATCACTGTTCACCTGCTGCCTCGAGTCTCGTATCTAACAGAGTGTCTGCCCAGTGGTGTATCACTGGCTCTGCAGTCTGCCCGTGTGGGTTTTCCTTTGCACCCCCCCCACCCCTTGAGGCCTTGTAGTGAGAATACACCAAGTCAGAGCTTACCAGCTGCTGTCCATTGTACAGTTTATATCGCTGGTACCTGGCATTACGTTTTATGGCACACATGGCCCGGCCTAACAAAGTGTAATTTATGTCATATCCAGCCCCTGCAACAGATGAGTTTGATACCTCTGTACAATACTGACTTTGATGGACCACTGGTCTGATTCGGTATAAGGCAACTTCATGTGAAGACTGGTCGGGAGGGCCTTTTTTCAGAAATTACCCTTTCCACATATTTTCCCAACGGGCAGTGAGAGAGATATTCTCCCCCGACAGGCCTTCTGGACTAAGCCGAAGGCATCTCTAGTCTGGAAGACTTTTGAGATGAACACACTGACCTTACAATGACAACTGCTGGTTTCGATGTACTGGCCCCGATACACCATCTAATTGAACCTCGATGTAAATAGTTGCTGGTTTCATGTGAGACTAGTTGTTTCTTATTGGTAATGGCTGTGAGGGATGTTTACGTTCAAAAGACAGCATATAAAAATGATAATAAAAGCAAGGGGAGGGGAGGGGAGGGGAGGAAGGGAGGACTTACATCAAATTCATTCAGTGCGGCAGCAAGCTCCCCAATGCCAGTGTGCCCCTTATTTTCATCAGTGGGTGAGGTGGCTTGAGCAGCGTTCGAGATGCCAGCAATCGCTTCCTGGACTTGCTTGAAAACGTAATCCCTGTTAGCTCTGGTTGCTGCTACGTCAGGGTGGCGGAGGAAAGCTTGCGAGGCAGTGTACAGCATGGTGGCATTCTTCTTCAGGGCACCGCGTGCAGCAGCCATTTCGTCCCGACAGTGAGGATCCTTCAGTTCCTGCAAGAAGTCATTGCTGATGTGGTTATTTTTTATTTTTTTAAGTATACATAAACCATGCAGAATTTGTATAATCTTTGTTTCAAATGCTTGGAGGATACCTAAAAAGGATCTACGTATCTGATCCGTGTCCTGCTTTTCCTCCAAGTTCCTCAGGGTGGCGTGAGTATCCCAACCCAAAAGAAAAGGGACACATCACACCACAAGTCACTTGGTAAAGCTTGAGTGTTATGTGTCAGCCAAGTTGTTCAGAGTTATGGGGACTGTATGAGGTAATGTCCTCCAAAATGCCCTCTCCTTAACAGCCCAGCTCAGGGGTCTTGCAATTGGAGGACTGTAGCTTCCTTGACTGAGTCAATCCGTGTCCTCCTGTCTTTAAACTTTTTCTAGCACTATTGTCTTTTCCAGTGACTCTTGCCTTCTCATAATGAGACCTAAATGCAATAACCTCTGTTTAGTCCAGGGTACAGGCGAATGTGAGCTGCGGTGGCTCAAGTGGTTAAGACGCTGAACTGCAGGCTGTGGAAGGCCGGAGTTTCAGCAGTTCGAGACCCGAGTGTGCCGCATGACGGAGTGAGCTCCCATCTCTGGTTCCAGCTCCTGCCAACCTAGCAGTTCGAAAGCAAGAAATTGCAAGTAGATAAATAGGTACCACTTTGGTGGGAAGGTAACAGCGTTCCATCTAGTCATGCTGGCCACATGACCACGGAAACATCTTCAGACAGCGCTGGCTCTTCGGCTTTGAAACGGAGATGAGCACCGCAACCCTAGAGTCGGATTCGACTGGTTTTTGAGCAAGGGAACCTTTACCTTTACCTTACAGGTGAATGTAAATAAAACGCTTAACCTGTCAAGTTGCTATAAGCTTTACCAAGTTACTTGTGGAGTGATGTATCACTTCTCCGGTGGAAAGCATGCATATTCCATGTGTTAATCATTCTGTAGACGAAGGAGGACTTGTTTTTATCTATTCTAAGCCAACCACTAATTAATTTCATGGAGTGCTCACTTGTATTGTGAGAAAGGGGGAAAAAATCTTCCTGGCTGGGAGAATTGCAATTGATATATAGGGGGTGAGGCGCTCGCGGGGGTGAAAGCCGAATTGGGGGGGGGGGGGTTGTCCCAGTCATAGACAAAGGTCATGGGAACTTTGGCCTCCTTTGCCCCTCCTAAAACCAGGAAGAAGTGATGGTGAATAAAATACAAATGGTCTCTTTGTTGGGGGGGGGGGGAGAAGTTCTTGCTTTGTTGGATGGCTAGGGGAACCCACGTGTTTTGAAGAAACTGACCTCCTTAGAAGAAGAATCAGGGGTGGATTAGCCAGTATAGCCACCAGGAGTCCCCATAGTGGGTTAAGTGCCCCCCCCAGGCCAAGTCAGCCCAACAGCAAGAAGGGCCCACCTGGGGAACCAGCACCTGTCCCCCAAGGTGATGGTACCCTGCCCACCAAAGGCCAGCGCAGGTAACCCACCAGCCCAAGGTTGCACAATAACGTTCCCAGCCCACCTGAGCCCCGTGTGGAGCCTGGGCAGGCAAGGGGCCTGGTTTTCCCCTCCTTCCTTTGTGGGGTGTAGGGTGGGCTGGGGGCCTTTTCTGGGGCTGTTTTCCCATCCTAGTCTGCCCCAGAGAAGAATGCAAACTGGAATCCAACAACGTCATTGTGCCTGTCTCTTAAACTGCCAGCAGAGAGATAAGTTTGAAACCCAGATGAGAGGGTTTTCATTTACTACTAATCTTATTTCGCCTTCGGCTAGGCATTCTTAAGACACCCTCTAGATCAACCACGGTATTCTTCCTCACCAGTGTTCCCTCTAAGCTGAGTTAGTGTGAGCTAGCTCACAGGTTTTTAGCCTCCGGCTCACACATTTTTGTCTCGGCTTAGGAAGGAGGGCTCCAGAGCGAACTAATTTCTGCCGTAACCAAACTGCTTGCTCCCAACTTTAATGTCTGTAGCTCACAAAGTAGAATTTTTGCTCACAACACTCCACAGCTTAGAGGGAGCACTGCCCCCCACCCCGCCCATTAGTAATTTATGCCTTTAAGCTCAAAGGCTCGTTTGTTAGCTTTCTTTTATTACAGAACTGCAATCTCCTAGCAGTCACGCCACTCTTCCGTAAGAGTCTGACTTCTATCTCTTACATTACATAGACAAGGTGGGGAGACTCCTGCCTGGATATGAGTGTGTGTGTAACAGGTTAAACTCCTAAAATGTGTCATTACTTTCACTGTCAATCATAGCAGGTGGTCAAGAAAAGCCTGTTCATTGTCTGTAGAGAGGAGAGAGGGATGTGTGTGTGTGTTTAAAGACTTAAAGGGGGATAATTGACAGTGTGATACTAATCCTTCTAAACCCATTGAAGTAAATCGGCTTAGAAGGGTGTGCTCTCTGCTTAGGAGCCACAATTAGTTTCCAGAAGGGCTAAAATGGCACATTTATACCACCATTGGCAGACAGTGAAAGGTTCATATCTCTAGAGAGGGGGGATCAACTGGAGAGGAGAACTTTCCCATAAGGTCTTGTAAGTTGGTAACCAGGCCAGCTGGATAAATTCCCCAGCTGTTTGGTGCACTGAATGTGCAGATGTGGGCTGATTTACAACTCTCTCTGTCTGTCTCTCTCTTTTTCTGTTTCCTCCACAGAAAAGAAGTTAATTTTTGGTTGTTTTTAAAAAAAAAAAAAAAAACATGTTGGAGACTAGAATCCCCCCATCCTCAACTGGGAATGGCCACA